GATGATCGTGTAAGCCCGATGTTTCGTAAACAAGGGTTGTTTCGAACCTCTCATCTATTTCAGCAGCTTCGACAGCCTTCTGTCGGATACAAGCTGTTGTCGTTCTTCCATGGGGCCTTCGAGGAGTGGCCTCAGGCCAGGAAACGCATTGCTTTGAGGTCCACATTTGTGACAATAGGACAGCTCGTGCGGAAGGTCGTAGAGCCGTTTTCGGTTTATCCTTGGAAGCTTTGGGATATGGTCGACCCAGCAGCAAGCGACATGCAAAGGACTGTGTTTGCACGAGAGCTATTCAAAGCATCGCCTTGTTGTTTGGATTCAGGTTGTAATGCCAAAATTCGAGCCAGCATGGATGAGGCTTCCTGCCTTGAGCAAGACTTCCGTGATTTCTTACACACCACATTTGAAAGGATCGTGTTGACGTCCACGTTCATAGAACGTAAGTTCTCTCATTTCACCCATTGGACAGATGTGAAGGGCAAGGGGTCATCTCTCGGTGCTTTGGCTGCGAAGCATGTGACTCGGTCCTTCAAGGATGCTGTTGAAGTTTGGAAGCAGCGTAGGTTTGGTGAAGAGTCGTGTCAGCCTCAGAACAAGAGTCGTCCCTCTTGGCGCAGAAAGGACGAAACAGCAGCCCGACTCAATGGTTATCACATGTTCCTGAAGGAGACAAGGGCAGCACGAACGAAGCCTTGCAGAGGGGCTGAGGAGGCCGAAGTGTTCTTGAAACATTCAACGGAGCAGTGGCAGAATTTGACACGCCAGCAGAAGCAGGTCTGGGGCCAACGGGCAAAAGAGCACAATGCCCGGAAAGCAGCACTAATCCTTGCCGAGGCCCAGGAAAAACCGCCTGACCTTCCAGGGGGACCCTGGAACATGAGCATCGTTTCCGAAAGGTGGCCGTTGTCGGAATCATATCTGGAGGACTTTCTGGGTTCTTTCGATGCCAATGGCTTTGCCGAAGCTCGAGATCGATGGAATCAGGCGGGACTTTCTGACTTTCTGATTAAGTAATTAGTAATTAGTAATTGGTAAGTAACTAGTAATTGACAATTGAAAATCCCGTCAATACCGCACTGACTTTAGTTAGGGTTTAGGGTTTAGGGTTTTGGGTTTTGGGTTTATTTAGGATTGTTTAGTTTATTGGCATTGGCTAAAGTTGAAGGAATTCACGAAGGTCGTAGTAGGATTAGGTCCACATTGTTTTGAAGTTTTGGCTCGGGCAGTTCAGACAACCAATGTGAAAAATAACAGCTGTCTGTATATGATGTGATAATTTTATACTTATATATGTTTGGAGCCAACAACCATAAAGTCGATCTGTCTCTGTTGACATAGTATCTGTATCAGTATGAAATCATATAATTATATATGCAGCAGCATTATATGATTAATACAAAAAATGTACTACTTATGAATCATGAACTTATTAACTATTTTTTAATCTTGCTATATTATATAAATATATAAACTATATATCTCTGCATCTATATATCCAGGTCGGGGGGTCCCGTGTCAGTACATGCTCAACTGGTGGGGTGGATTGAACTTTGATCTCGGTTTGATAACTCTTCATAGATTGATAAATTTTATGAGTTTTGTGTACCGTGTTGTGGGGAAGGCCTGCTAGGAATCCTGGCAGACTTGAAGATGCTTGTGTGTTGTCCGTTGTGAGTGCTTGAGTTTAAGATTGTTTGTAAGAGTCAGTGATTCAACGGCTAAACAGTGGAGGCTATGGCTACTACGCCAAGTCGCGCCACACCATGCTAGCCAGCAAATGAAAGTGTTCATCAGCTTTGACTCATGCTCGGTTGTGCAGATCTGCGGAAGTGAATGAATGAATGAGTCAGGATGTTGTATTTGTTGATGAGTTGATGAAACATGACATGTCGCGTCACGCAGAGTCACACGTCACATAACTCATAACATCGTCGATATCACGTTTGGGTGCGAGTACCCTTTAGTAACTCATGCTGCGCGGTCATTCTAATTAAAGCTCACTCATGACTTGCGATGTATGACAATTTCATCTACCAGGCGCAAGTGATTGTAAACCGTGCAACCATGCCAAAGAATCTTGTTGTGCCCCGTTGTCGGCATGTCAGAATCTGTTCGAGTTATGGTTTGTGAATTCAGCAGCTCAGTCTTCATTCAATTACTTGCTAGGAATCTTGATACAGTGTTCGTTTGATAAGATTCTTTCTTTAGACTCCAGACTTGCTATCGGAATATGAACATGAATATGATGTTGTATGAACTGAAAACATTTATCTGTTATCTCGGTTTGATAACATAATAATAATAATATAATAATAATAACAAGACAATAAATACTAATCTATAACTATAACTATAGCATAGTCTGTCTTGATAGATTGTCTTAGATTGATATTGGTAAATTATGACTTATTAAATATTATTCCACCAAATACTAGTTATGAGCTGGGGATCAACATTTTGCCATTTGCTCTACTCGTAACAGAATAGAGAAACTTCATTTCGAACTTCAGAATCTAAGCAGACGGTTGTTCTTGTTATGCCTCAACAATTAGTAGTTCATCTGGTCTTGGTAGAAGTTTACGATACTGTTCAAATTCGTACCTAGGTTAGGTGTCGGCCAAGCACAGTCTCGACATCAGGGTGTCAGTGTTTATGCAGCCTTTATGCAGGCTCATGGAGATCCTCATCCGGTTGAGTACGACTTGGACCTGAAGGAAGGCAGGAACCTTTTCACGGTTTGTGCTCCTGGCGGCTGCGAGGCCAAATTGTCTGCAGAGCGGAGAGCTGTCGCACGACGGTTGCACACTTGCTTGACTATTTTGGTGAAGCGGTTTGACCCTGCAAAACGAAACATCAGTGCAATGCCCTTGGTGCTGTTTTGGGAGTCGAGAAAAGAGAACGTGGCGCTTCCCACCATGCTTGCGTTTCGCACGTACACTGCTAACCTCGACATCATTCTCTTGGAGCTGAAGCTGCACAGCACAGAGCCGAGAGACCTGACTTTTGGGTTGCAGCCCCCTTTCACAATGGAGTTTAGGTTTCATCCCGATGGCCACCCAGCTTTCTTCAACGATATGTCTCTGTGTGTGACCTTAGCCGACATCTCCGATGATTGGGCTGTGAATCGTTGTTGATTGGGGATATAGGCAACACCTTGGGCTCTCTGAGCGCGGCAGACTTGGTGCATCATGACATGGATGAGTTGGTGGCCGAGGCGGCCCGATTGAAAGAAGAAGAACGTGTCGTGAGGGCTGCCAAACTCATGCAGAGGCCAGTCAAGCCTAGACACCAGCAGAGACAAGGACAAAGAGCCGAAGGCCAACCGAGGTCTCGGCAAGCAGGCCGAGGCAGATCCCAAAACAGGGGTCGTGGGCATGCGAGAAGAACAGCGGCTCCTGCTGATGAGGAGGGAACACAATTGGAAGAAGAGCAAGAAGAGGAAGAAGCGTGGTTTGCCGATGCTGAGGATGAAGATGATGTGTGGGGATTGGCACCACCCGACACTCGATCCCAAAGAATCCCTGGGGCCACGGCTCCATCCAGTGCATCCGGCAGCACTGCAGCCCACGCTGTCTCAGCTGGTCAAGGAGCAGGCAGAAAAAAACGTGCCGGCACAGAGATTACCGAGGATGCTCATGTCGACCAGGCCGCTGTCCCAGCTGGTGTCCCACCAGAGCCATCGCTCCTTGAGCGACGACGAGTCTTCCGCAGTGTGCGGCAAGACAAACGGCGTGGCATTCCTTGGGGGCCTTTCCAGTTGCAGCCCATCGTTACAGCCGAGGGGGAACAGAAAGGGTGGGGTGCAGTTTGCGGCCAGCACTTCGAGCGCGACAGCTCCAGCCAGTGCAAGAAGGCGGTGTCTTCGAGTGTGTTGGAAGACTCCGAGTGCATCCTTCGTTTGAGGCGTTGGTTGTTCGCCGGGCTGAATGACGGGAGCTGGCCACTTCATAAGCAGCGAGAGCAGCATGTCCGTATGGGAGGTATTCATTTGAATGATTTCGCTTCAGGGCTCTCAGAGCAAGAGCTGGATCGGCGCATTGCCCTCTATGCTCCGTCGGCTGCATAAGGACTGCCGGTCATTGGTCATTGAGTATTTGAGCCAGCAGCCTTCCTCTTTCTAGCCTTTCCCACTTGCTCTGAAGAGTTTGGTGCCGCTGTCCCAGCTGGTCGGATAAGCTAAGTAAGATAAGTAGTTAGTAGTTAAGTTAAGAGTTAGGACAGACGACTAAAGAGCCTAAAGAGCCCTGATGGCCCCACTGACCCCCATCATGTTTTCATTTGCCGTTGCCAGGAATCCCTGCAATCCTACAGGCCGCTGTCTCAGCAGGCGGCAAGGCTGCACTTATTAGCTGTGTGTTTGAACTGTATTTGAGCCTTGTTGGGGGTGTAGCTTCGGAGAACTTCTTTGGCAATTACTTGACAATTTTTTTATATTTTGATAATTTTTGGAAACAAAAAATATATACAAAGTTTTTTTTGTTTTTCAAACTTTTTTGAAAAACTTTCTTAGAATTTTTAGATTTTTTGAGAAAGTCAAAATGTGAACTCAAAAAGCGTTTTTAAGTTCAGAAAACAGCGTTTTAAGTTCACATTTAGGGTTTTTGAGTTCACATTTTAACTTTCTCAAAAAACTCAAAATTCTAAAAAAGTTTTTGAAAAAAGTAAAGTTTTTTTACATTTAAATGTTTGCTTGTTTTCAATTTTTTAAAATTATATATTGCTGGGGTAACCTTAGTGAAACTCACCTTCGTTGGCAAATGGGCTCAGGGTTTAGGCTTAGGGCTGCGGCTTAACACGTAGGGCTTAGGGTTAGGGTTTGGGGTTGGGCTGGGCATCGGGCCTTGGGCCGTGGGTCCTTGGGCCTAGGGCCTTGGGTTCTGGACCCTAAACCCTAAAC